CTCCAAGTCCCCTTCTTCTCAGCCAGAGACCAATTCTCCATGTGGTGAAGCCACTGTTACAAGCAAACTCCCCCACCGGTCTCTCAGGACAGCTCTGCCTCTCACGGGGTTTCCCAAACCAACATAGATGCCATGGTGGCCCATAGTCTCAAGAACAAGGTCCGAGATACGCAAGAGACACCGCTCTACCAGAAGTCGTACCCTTCGTACATCGACCAAGTTTCGTTTCCTCCAAACTACTAAAAGGGGAAGCTCCCCCTGTTCAACGGTACTACATCCTCGCACCAGCATACTGCCCACGTCCAAGCAGCCTGTCGAGAGATGACGATTGACGGACGAATCCTCCTCCGTCAGTTCTTCGAGACTTTCGAAGGGCTAGCCTTCCAGTGGTATGCTTGGCTGCCTCCAAACTCGGTGCACACATGGCAGGAAATGGAGCAGTTGTTTTACCAACACTTCTAGAAGTCCAAAGGAATGTTGAAACCATCGAGCTCCTCACTCTAGCTCAAGACCCTGGTGAGCCAGTTGATAAGTTCATCGCCCGATGGAGAGAGCTGGCAACCTTTCATGCCACTCCCATGACTGAAAAAGAAGCTGTCCAAACATGCATACAAAACATGCATCCTGAGATCGCCCTGCATGTTGAGGCCTCCAATCCACCCTCCATGTCAGAGCTCATCTCTAAAGCAGTTTGTATCGAGGGTCTGTCCAAACACCATGACAGATCTTGTCAGCAACCCTCTGGCTCGAACACCCGCTCCAAAAATTGGGGCAACCAACAGAAAGTAGTGATCAGTGCAGCTGTCACTATGACTGACACTAACAAAGCTGCTCCTTAAACCCTGGACCTCTCCAAGGTACAAATGTCTCTGGTCGGGGGCAAGAAGTAGGCCTACAACAAGGTCCCGCCTCCCAAAAATATTAATTGGAGCGAGTTCTGGATCCTGCACTAGAATAAGGTGTACCCCTTCGACAAGGAGTGGGTCCTTGCACTGCTACGACTACTATTGGAGAAAAACATGATCCAGCTGCCGGAGGTTAGCACTCCAGAACAAGCTGGACAGGAGTCACACGAGAGGTACTACGTCTATCACAGGAAAGTAGGCCACCCCACTCAAGACTGCTATAAGCTCAACGACACTATCGAAGGGCTTATTAACAAGGGTCAGATAAAGCTCAAAGAGTTAAAGAAAGCATTCAGGGCAACTGAGGCTTCTCACATAGTGACAATACAGGAAGATGATGGGGCACCCGCCATCGTCCATGCAGTATTTTCCATAATGTTCAAGGAGGGACACGTCATGCCAAAGCCAACAAGGCAGCCCAAGTTCCTGCCTCCATGAATTGAGAACCTCTGGTGCTCGTATCATCTGAAATGAGGCCATGATGTGAGTGAGTGCACTAGCTTCCACGAACTCTTGACAAAGAAGATGAAGCAATGCCAGGAAGCTCATGGTAACCCAGAAGGATGCTCTCAAGTCCCTCTTTCACCAGTGCAAGAAGAACTCTCGACGCAAGCCCCGAGAAGAGTTGAGCTAGACCCTTTGTAGGCCCTCTTCGACACAATGCTCCAACAAGGTCTCATCACTTCCAAGCCCGCCAGGCACCTTAAGTGCCTTGCCTAGGGTACAAGAAACCTATGGTGCCCATATCACCAAGTATGGGGCCATGAGCTGAAAGAATGCTTTGGGTTAGAAGCTATAGTCACTCAAAAGGTGTCGGAAGGCCACATTATTTGTGCCATTCTCCCAGAGTTCTTCCAAGCCGTCACTCCCATCCAAGAGGAAGGCCCACTACAGGTCCCCTATGAGCATACACTAGACCCTTCAAAGCCCTCGGCTTCTCAGCCCTAAGAAGTCTACCATGGGTGAAGTATGCTCAAATCCATGAAGTGTGAGGTAGTCCACCAAGCCAGGGCTACTCATCAGCTTGATAGGGCAGACCGAACCCCTCCTCAAGGACCCAAAAAGAGACGAGCACCTAGGTCCACTTGCCGAAGGAATCGTCTCCCTCAGCCACCAATCGAGGAAGAGTTTCTCGGGCCCCTTACTCCACTACCAACCTTACAGGACTTCATCCCAAGCATAGCTCACCTTATCATGTCGTCCAATCAGATGGACGTCCTTGAGTCATCAACAGCTCGAGAGTCGTCCAATATGGGTGACGATGCTAAAAGCACCCCACAATAGTCAAAGCCGGGGCAAGACCTAAAATACCCCCTGCATACGTCCAATTCCGGCGACGACATACAAAGCTGCCCGGAACATTCTAACTCTTCTTCTTCTCCCTCTTATTCTATTTCTTCCATAGGTGCAGCTCGACAGTGCCCAGACTTCGACACTCTAAACAGAGAGCTGGGAGGCACCAGCCTCATCAGGTTGCAGCGAAAGCGCTTAAGAAAGATACTGGCCCAGGAAGTTAGATTCTTGACAGTAGCCGACGCCCTGTCAACCCAAGCCAGAACCGAGCCATCCTCAAGCCCCTATTCCCATGAGGCTTGTCACATGAGTCAGGTTCATGAAGCGTCACCCAGTTTGGGGGAAGTACTGAGTGACCCCAATCACAAGGTCATGGACTCCCTATTCGAAGTTGACTCTTTCATCGCTTGGTCCGGCCAGGGACTAAAAATCGTCTCTCACACTGCGCCTCTCCTAGAAATAGAAATGTCAAGATCATGTGTTTCAGCGCTCGAGATTGATGAGAAGCATCCTGAATCCCCTGACGAAGAGTTACAAGAGGCTCCGAAAGAGTGGGAAGAAGGTGGTTAGGCCACAGCTGACGAGCTTGAAGAGATAAAATTAGGGGATGAGGTAGATTTGAGGCCAGCTTTCATCTCAGCAAAAATGTCCCTAGAAGAAAAAGAAAGTTATACCTCCCTCCTTCGAGCAAACTGGGACATTTTTGCCTGGCATTATCATGAGATTCCTGGTCTGAACCCTCAAATTTCTCTCCACCATCTTGGTATTGATCATTCCATTAAACCCATGAAGTAGAAATAAAAAAGGTTTAGACCCGACCTCAAGATACAGATCAATGCTGAGGTGAACAAGCTCAGGTAGCTGGATTCATACCTGAGGTCATATACCCCAGATGGCTGGTAAATGTTGCCTCAGTCAAGAAGAAAAATGGCCAAATCAGGGTCTGCATTGACTTTTGCGACTTGAATTGCTTGCCCTAAGGACGACTTCGCCTTGCCATTCACTGAGATGCTTGTCGACCCCATGCCTCATTGCCTGATCTTCTCCTTTATGGACTGGTATTCTGGTTATAATCAAATCAGAATGGCACTAGAACATGAGGAGGCCATCGCGTTCTTGACCCCAAAGTGTGTCTTTTGCTACACTGTGATGCCTTTCGAGTTAAATAATAGTGGTGCCACATACCAGCGAGTCATGACAACCATCTTCAAGGATATGATCCACAACGAGGTCGAGTGTTATGTGGATGAGTTGGTGGTGAAATATGAAACAAAGGACTCTCACGTACAAGACCTTAAAAAGGTATTTGAATGACTGTGGCGTCACCAACTCAAGATGAACCCCATGAAATGAGCCTTTGACGTATGCTGAGGAAAATTCTTAGGGTTCATCATGACTTCTTGTTAATAACAAGAGCTTAGGAGAGAGAGAGAGAGATTGGGCCCTCACTGGTTTCTTTTTAACAAGAGAGAGAGAGAGGCTATTGTTTTTTACGAGAGTGAGAGCTAAAATTACACCTCATAAAGGTGTCCAAAATATGTAAAAAGGCATGTTGAGGTTGCCAAGGTGGTAAAAGAGGACCACAAGGTTTTATTAAAACATGGAGCAAAATATTTGTGGACCAACAGGTCCACATCACAAAAATAGACCAGCACCAAATAAAAGTTGTTTTGAAACAATTTTTTCAGCAAAAAGTTAACATTTCATTATGCTCACTGAAATTCTACTTCCACAAAATTAATTTTTGAACCATCCTTTTATGTTTTGCTGAAAATTTCACGAGGGGTTCATCATTGATTTTATAATCAAGGTTTCCAACTATTTTTAGCCATATTTAGGGTTTCAATGCCATTATTATTTTCTGTATAACTTTATAATTATTATCAACGGATTGGTGTCCTTTGATCCTAAGTTCTTTTGTTTGGCTCAATTTAAGTTGCATCAAATATTTCTGAATGGGTGACTTTTTTATTTGAAATATAAGAGCAGAATCTTAGGATTTTTAGTCGTACTCTTAAAATCACAGTGATGTGGTTTTTGGAAGCAATCAATTAATTCTTGTTTGCATTTTGATTTCTGGTTTGTTCTAGGTTTGTTTTGTAAGCACATCGAGTCATCTCAAACATTTAATTTTGTGGATAGGTTTCTTGGTCCAATAATTTGGGATCACATACTTGAGGGTGTCTGGCAATAATCGTTTCAATAGTTCACCTAGCATTTGAATATCTCATTCTACAAAATGAAAATAGGAAATGCGAAACAGTGCAATGACCTGAAGAAAGAAAGGGTTGTCAAAATTGGTGTGTCAATCTTGGTTTAAGTAGGGATTTAGGGTCAGTAGATGTTGTGTGGGCGGGCGACATGGATGTCTTTAGAGCATGGAGGAATAAAATTGTAAAACCTGGAAAAATTATAGATACCTCCAAGATCAGGACATCCTGTTTTCAATATTTTTTTTATCACACCTTAGATTCCGACGTTATTTTTTATCGTATTTAAACCCTTAGTCAAGAAGTCAATAAAAATTTTGACAAAAATGCCTTTTCCTTTTTTTATGTTTTACCTTTTATGTTTTTTTAATCACAGCAGCATTTTTTCTTTCTACCCATTCCCTTTCTCTACATGTTTCCACCCGCCCTCTATCAATTCTCTTTTTCTATCTCTACCTCCTCTCTTTCTCTTTCTCTTTCTCTTTCTATTTCTCTTTCTCTCTCTACCTCTCTCCACCAGCTCTCTATCTACTCTCTCTACCCACTCTCTCTCACTCTTTCTTTCGCTCTCTCTTCTCCCTCTCTTTACCCACCCTGTCTCACTCTCTCTATCTGCCTTGTATCTCTCGTTCTCTCTCTACATGCTCTCTCTGCCCGCCATCGCTCTCCTTAAGCATGTGGCCTATAAAGTGGTCGGGTACAATTTTGTGCTGAACCCAAACATTTTTTGTTGTCCGGCACAAAAAATCGTAAAAAAATATTTGATCCGGCACAAATTTGTCGATGTTTGAAAGTTTTTTTGGCGATCTAGCATACTTTTGTGCAGAAGCGCAAAAAACAAATCGATTGTCGAAGTTTAAACGGTCCGCCACACCGATTATGTAAGTTAACGCCCAAGGTATCCTACTTCCCTCAATTAGTTTAGGGCAGTGACCTTTTACCTTATCTTCGTTGTGTCCTTGTAGATTTGGAATATACAATCTTGAAAATGCTACTTTCTTAAGTCCATGCATTTCATGAATGGCAGTGCCACAGCAATTATACATGGTACAGGATGAAAGTCTCTTTTTCCTTTTGGTTGGATCCATGTAAACTTTGGAATGAGTTAATGCTTGTTCATTCACTGGAATACAATTGAAATGCACACTCTCTCTGAATTTGTCTCCTAATGTATTTATCCATTTTCAGCAGTAGAGTATTTCAGCAAAGAGCTTGGGGGGTTCTAGTAGAGAGAGAATTTGGGCAGAGAGAAAGAGAGTTGGGGGGTTTCAGTAGAGAGAATTTGGGCACAGAGAGTGAAATGGGTTTCGTGAGATTTGAGTAGAGAGAGAGAGTTTGGGTAGAGAGAGTTTTGGGGTTTCAGTTGAGAGAGAGAGAGTTTGGCACAGAGAGAGAGGGAGCGAAATGAGTTTTGTGATATTTGGGTAGAGAGTTGCGGAGAGTGAGAGTTTGGGGTTTTAGTAGAGAGAGAGAGAGAGTTTGGGCAGAGCGGGATGGGATTTGTGAGATTTGGGTAGAGAGAGAGAGAGCGAAATGAGTTTTGTGATATTTGGGTAGAGAATTTGCGGAGAGAGAGAGTTTGGGGTTTTAGTAGAGAGAGAGAATTTGGGCAGAGCAGAAAGGGTTTTGTGCGATTTGGGTAGAGAGAGAGACTTTGGGCAGAGAGAGTTTGGGGGTTTCAGTAGAGAGAGAGTTTGGGCGGAGAGAGAGAAAGCAAAACGGGTTTTGGGCAGAGAGCGAGAGAGTTAGGGTACAGAGGGAGAGAAGAGAGGGCAAAAAAACGTGACTATCACGGCGAGGAGAGAGTAAAATGGTATTTTAATCTTAAAGTTTTTTATTTTTTGACTCGGAGTAAATACAAAGAAAATAGAGAGAATTAAAATTATGAAAAAAGTTTATATAAGGATGCCACCCATAATGTAGAACTACGGATGCCCTCAAAAACCTATCGGAAAAGGTAGTTTTAATATTGAAAAACCAAAATCTATCGGAAAAGGTAATTTTAATATTGAAAAACCCTTTGATTGATCATCTCGACATCAAGATGTATGACTATGAAAAATAAAAAAATTTTAATTCTCAAAAATAGTACATTTTACAACATATTATGTATACCGTCCATTTTCAAGATTTTTATATGTTTATAGATCTACATTTATTTTAACCATTTTTTAAATTTAAAATTTTATAATTAGATATAAAAATAGATTTTGAGATAATCCTAATAACATTTTACATCAAAATTATATACCATCATAAAATTTAAAGGCCACTATACCTCTATACCTACGGAGGGGTCCGTATGAAAACTGCACCCTAAAATTATTGTGGGTAGGATATGTGCAAAGTTGATTTTGGAGTATCTATAAATGTCCCTAAAACCTAAACTTGCTGATTTTTAAGATAACAAAGTGACAGACCTATCTAAACGGTCATTGAATTTGTTCTTTGGTGACGGGTTTAGTGGGAATCACTTCTATCAAATCCCTTTTGCTTTTGAAGAGTTTGTTATCATGCAATTTTGTTCTTTCATGAGTTCTTCCACTGTTAAATTGCCCTTTCCGCTTGTGCTCCTCCCTTCTCTCTTGTTTGAATAATTTTTTGTTTCTCTAATGATTTTATAGTTAGATTATTTTTTTGGGTAGATAATTTTTTTGAGTAAATATGATTAGATTATTTGATAAATGTTTCTTTTGTTCCTTGGATTGATTGTTGTGCTTTATCACTTCATAAGTTTTGTCAAGGAGATCTGTATGAAATTTTTAGGGTCTACAAAGAATGCGTGATATGATTTGAATGAATCAAATTGGTTTCTCATCAATGTGAATTTATGGTAGTTGATTCTCATGTGTTTTTTGTAACAGTAGCCAAAATTTTCTTGTTTCTATTACCCATAAAAATTCTGTCTTTAAATGATTCCATACAACTTAGTCTTTTAATAAATAATCCCTTCATTACACTCCATTTCTCAGTTGAGCTGAAGCTCTTCGCCCTTTACCAATAATAATTATCCTTTGTTGACTAATCTTTTATGATGAACTGAGAAGTAGTTGCAAAATGTAGAGCGCAACTCTTCCTTCTTTGTGTTGTCTAAATGGAATTACTCATACTTTTTGAAATCTCTCATTCATTGGGTTTAATTGAAAGTTGTAACCATATTAACTCATTTTTAATTTCTTTTTATATTTGCACGTCCCTCTTGTGCATTGCCACCATGAGGGTACTTGTAGCCCCCTTACATCCACAACCTCCGCTCAAATGAACAATAAAAAAAAAAACTCGGTACCTTATTTTTGCTCCTGCCTGCCCTGCTAAACAGAGTTGACACCAAAATTGTTCCAATACCATGTTTTACGACATAGACTTTTTTATGAGACTTTGATTCGCTTCGCCTGAGGTTCTCAGTTTCCCATGCTGCTTGACAACCAGACGTTACTCATTACCTCGATTTCTAGATCCAACTTCCCGATCAACAACTCATCACTAATCCACCCTCGTATATATGATGACTGTGAAAAAGTTGTGCATGGTTGCTGCTAAACTATCCATTCTTTGGTTCAGTCACCCCGCGGAGGCCATTGCCTCCAGTGCCACCACAGTTGCATTTGACTCCTCTTAGATCACCTCTGGCACCATTGGCTCTACCATCTGCATCATCAAATTCAGTTGTTTCCTCAGCTGCTACTTGAGAACGTCATTATATTCATCTTTATAGCACAAAATTCCTTCTTCTATTTTTTTTTCTTTTTCTTATGTAATGTAACCACCAATGAAGAGTGGTGTACACCACCATTAGCAAGAGAATCAAATTTTGAAGTTAGCCCCTCTAAAACAATGAAGGAGCTCAAAAGAGCCGCAAGCTAAAAAATGAAAAATTTCGTCAAAAAGGGAGGTCAATCTCCATGATGATTTCATCTCTCTTTTATTCCATGCTATCAATTTTTTTGAATCGCCCTCAACCATTTTATTTCCACTTAATTAGAAAAATAACCTCGGTCATTCCAATAATCCTCTTGTTTCTACCTCATTCACAGTTGAGATGCCAATTGGTCCCGAGAGAGTCAATATGATGTTGCCCATATTATCACGAACAATTCCACCAAACCCAACAAGACCTAGATTTCTGAAAGAGCTGCCATTAAAATTGAGTTTGAAACTCTATGGTGGTAGAACCTATATTGCTTGTCTACTATTGGATCGATGTTGGAAGTTTGCAACTTCAAATAGGTTTTGAATAATCTGATTTCTAGGAATGAAGCTGTTATCTTTGTTTATGGAGAGCCAATCAGCCGCCATAGCAAGGATATTTGTTTTTAAGGAATAGATATCTACGCTTTCAGCTTCAAACACCCTTATATTGCATTCCCTCCAAATGTTCCACATCACAAAGACCCAAAGAAATCTCCATAACATTGTCCCTAACTTTTGTAATCCAGGATTTATCCATTGTTGTAATACAATTAGCATTATTGAGGAGTAAGGATATTTAATTTGATCAGATTTCTGCACCAACTCCAAATCTCCTATGTTATAGTTAAACCATAAAGGGAGAGGAGAACATCCCCTTCAAAAAAAGTGGATGTGATAAATAGTTTCACAAGAGAGTATCTATTTGAAATCCATGATTAAGGCCCCATTTTGACCAAATTTTGGGAATAAAGTCTTTTTTTCCTATATTTCTAGGTGTCGACTTTCGTTTCCCTATTTATCATGCTGCTAAAATGCCTACAACTCTTAAAATTAAAGAAAATGTTTTGCACTTTGTTTCTTGGTAACTTCCTTCATGGGGATGTTTTGCTGGTCAAACTACCCTAGGATTGGTATTTTGTTTTATTAAGTTATTATAACTCTCCAAACAGAGCCTACAATTTGGTAATTTGTTACGCTATGTTGTTGTGAAGTGTGCTTGCTATATCGATCTAAGTCAAGATGAAATGGGAAGGTTGATTACTTAGGATGCCACAGGTTTGGAGTACATGCCATGGAAAAAATTTCCTTACATGTTCCCTCCCTTATATATGTCTCCCATTTCCTATCAGTACAATTTAGATGGGCAGCTAGGATCATTTCTTTGTTGGTAACATCCCTGAAAGAAAGGCTAATGTGATCTTGGTAGGAGTATATATATATATATATATATATATATATATATAGTTTCTCACTTCTTTTCTTTTCTACTCTTTTGGCGAAGATCACATACAAATAGCCTTATTACAACAACTCTTGCTTTCAAAAAAAATAAAAACTTAAAAATCCAAAATCTTAAAAACTTTGATGCCATTGAACCAATTTTCTTTAGTAAAAAAAAATAACCACAAATGTTGTGCTTGAGAATATAAGGACTATACAATTATATGCAAGAAACAAAAGAGAATATCGGAGATTACCTCAATCGGGCTTATTACACTCCAGACCGAGTTGTCATCATCCGACGCTCTTCGTTCAATCTCAACTGAGAAAGCTAATTTCGGCCAAGCTCTTCAATAGAACCCTTGTGCTCTCACAAGAGCTTTAGGATCAAGGCCCAACCCTAAGCTTAGATTAAATTTCGCAACCCTAGGCTTAGATCAAATTAGAAATTAAAGAGAGATCAAAATAGAAATTAGAGAGAGAGGTAGTTTATCTCTAGGCTTAGATCAAATTAGAGCGAGATAGTTTATCTCTAGGTGGGGCGTGCCCCTTTTATTGGACTAAGAGAGAGAATAGGTATTTGCTCGAGAGGGATGGGAGAAGTGAGAGGGGCGTGCCCCTTATGAAGAGAGATACGAGAGAGGTGGAGCATGATTAGAATGAAAGGGGATTACCCTTTTTTATAGAGAATTGGGTTAGGGTTTCCATTGCTTGCGTCACAAGATTGAATCTGAATCGTCGATCAAATGTGACTTGTAGGGTGAGAGATCTGAGTCATTCATTCCATAGATGGACCATCAACATTGCGGAATATGCTGAACCATTATCCCCCTTTCCTTTGACCATTATCCCATCAAATAAAAATTAATCAATAAAATATTGTGCTCTATTCAAAATATATATTCATAAGCCATATAGGCCTTCTAAAAGATTTTATTCAAATCTCTTAAAGATAATACACTTTATTAACTCAAATCAATTTGAGATAAAACATCAACAAATCCCATAAAGAGGGGGGAGGTGCCACCCGTGGGATAAGCCTCCCCTCAAAAGGTGGCGTGCCACCCAAGATAGGGATTTATGGGCCCCACCTTCAAAAATATGGTAGGCCCATGTGCACAATGGGCCTCCATAAAATTTTATATATATTAAAAATAATAAAATAAATTTTAGAATATTATTTGAATATTTAAATCATTAAAAATCTTTAATTTTATAAACCCAAATATTATCAATAAAATACCCAGGAGTTTATAAAAATTTAAATAATAATTCTAAAATAATATCTCTCATAAAATAAACATAATTAATTTGATGGAAAAATAATCCATATGGTCAATGAATTAAATCAATAATGGGGCACTCCACCTTCAATTGTGGACTATAAACCACGCTTGCTTTATCATGCCGACCTAGTGTTGCCCATGAACCACAGTCCAAGCAGGGGCTCATTAGCAGGTCACCAAAGTCTGCCCGATGAGCTAAGAGAACGCAATCCCAGTCACCTAGACTTGATGCGACCACAACTCTATGGAGCATAGGGGTATATATCGCACATGCATACACTTCATCCTAAAAGGTGGCTTGCTCGCTTTCTTGAACAGTCTATCAATATGTATGTCATGTGATGGTACATAGATGAGGCTTTGGTCCCCATCTCCGTAGACCACCATCACACACAAGGGTCACATAGTCCCTCGGTTTACTCATTCAGGCAGATACTCCGACCTCATCAAGAGATGACCCATTAGAACCCTTCTCGATTAATTCTCTATGCTCGAGTGACATGGGTTTTTTCCAATCGACTGGCCTAGATCGTCAAGTACAATCCAATATCTGTAAACATCGTTTACATGGTATGGTCTACGAGGGATCACACTCCTACTGAGTTCATGATGTCTCTTCACAATCACTCATAAGGCCACATAAACCCAACAATCCCAGTCCAAAACAATTAAAACCCAAAGCTCCTATAGTTTTCTCCATCCCCTATAGTTTTCGCCATCTCACTCTTGGATATGTGGTTTCTCACTCTAGCTTAATGAACCTATTCATATTCTCTCTTTCTTTGACCTCGGGGTTGTATTTCTTGCTTGATCAATCTCTTTCTATTTGAGGTATGTGATTTAGCTTTTTTCTCCATTCTCTCTATTTGATAAGCAGTCTATCTGAAACCAAAACTCTCAGCTTGATCTTCAATTTAGCTAAAGGATTTATTTTTTTTTATTTTTTACTTTTGCAAAGTAGAAAGGTTTATTTGAGGCCATGGTTTTGTAGAACCAATCTCTTCTAGAACTCAAGATAACTTACTTGTTTATGTGTTTTCTGGTGCCTTGATTTGATGCAAATAAGGTTTTTCTGACATGATTTAAAATTGAGTTTTAACTCGCTCATTTATTTGTTTTTTGGTGCTTTGATTTGATGCAAATAGGGTTTTTCTAACATGATTTAAAATTGAGTTTTTTTGTAAATTATTTGTGCTACGATGCAAATTGGTAAGTAAAGACTATTGATTATTTGGGGATTTGTCATTAATGGGTTAGTTTGGGGATGGTTTTGGGGTTTGATACCAAAAACTAGGATTTACTTTTTCACATGCATTTCTCTTAAAAATATATATCCAAGTGTAGACACCCCATTTTTAAACTGGCAAATTCCATGATTTTCTTAAACCCTTAGGACCACAATGTTACATACAACCCCTGAACCACAAAGTACCATAGTTCCATGGTCCCATCCTATATCTTGCAAACTCACTGATTTTGGAAATATTCAAGAAAAATAGTAAAATGTTATATTTTAACCTAATTTTTTTAACAAAAGTGCATAAATCAACCCAGAATTGGAAATTTCAGATTTTGGTCGGATTTGGATTAGGCAACACAAAGTGTGTGTGTCACCCAAGCAAGATCAATCCAAATCCCGGATGTTCAGCTGCCAACCCATTATGGACCATATCCAATGCATTCAGACACTTTTGGGCTTGGTGAGCTCGGGTTTGGTGTGTTGCCCAGCCCTCTGACCCTCAAAAACGTGTTTTTGAGCTGGCTTTCTATTGAACTTCCAAATTTGAACATTTCACATGCTTTTCATCCTATGAAAGTGCATTTGGACAACCTTTTTAGGTTAGCCAAAAAAAAAAGGTGAAAAACCATAATCTATGAGCAAATCCTAGATTGAGGTAAAACCCTGAAACCCCTATTTCGATGAAGCCTACCTTCAGTCTTTAGTCTTAGATTAGAAAAACCTTAGTTCAATCAAGCCAAGTCCTGAAAAGAGACACAAATGACTCACGGTGCAAACACAGCCGCAGTCCTGATACGGGCAAGGCCTTGAAGCCTCGGGTGTTTCGGTTCAACTGGCCGGGCCAGTACCTTTTCTTCTCCATTTTTAGTTCATTTTGTAGCTATTTTATTTGATTTAAATAGCTTTTATTGCTTTATTTCAGTATTTCATGCGTAGGATCGATGTTGGCTTTGTTGCTGATCTGTTCATTTCTAGATAGATCTGCCCTTAGATCGGAATTTGATTGATCCCACTCTCTATCAATCTTAAAAACAAGTTTGTAGTCTCAGATCCGAGGGATCTTTAGTAGAAGATCTCTCTGATTTTGTGTTGTAAACAGTTTGGCGCCCAAACTTTAAATTTGTCCAAGCCCTATAATAATCATCCTGACTCTAGAAATATGTCTTCAACAATGAGGCGATCCCTTACTCGTTTAATGTTGTGGATTTGGAAGGGGATTCTCATCATCTCATCCATGTACCTTCCCCTTTGAAAACTTTCTTCTTTCTTCTTCCTCCCCCTTCCTTCTTCTTCCTCCTTCTTCCTCCTTATACTGGTTTTCAATGGCTCTTAGGAAAAACAATGACCTTCCCAAAGTAAAAAGAAAGAGCACTGATCATGTAAAGGAGAGAGAGGAAGAGGTTCTTCCTCCTTTTGTTAGGGTAAGGCACTTCTCAGATGGCCTCCCATTCTATATTTCACAAGGTTTGAGGACAAGGGATGCTCCTCGAAGGGTTCAAGGTTATTCTGTAATCAGCCCCTGATTCAAGGGCTGGTATCTTTTGGCAAGGTAGTGACTTGAACTCATGGTTGTTCTCAAGTCAATTTCTATGATGGGAATCTTGACTATGGCCTCTTTCCATGTCAATTTTTCCCTTATAGAAGCTCTTGTAGAGATGTTCAATTTTCAGACCAATGCCTTCTTCCTTCCCACAAGAGAGACGACTCCAACTTTAAAAGAAGCAGTGAGAAGTTCCAGCTTGAGCTTATCTAGTATTGCATATCAACCATCTACGGCCACTGATGATCACTCCTTCTTGGGGACACGACAATTAGGGGCTGCTTATTCTCCTCGAGGGGATTGGGTTCATATGGAAACCCTTGTTGTCAATGAAGAGCGATCCCAAGCAGCGGAGAAAATCAAAATGTCCTTTTTGTGCTTCTTGGATCGGTTCTCTTCCCTAGTGGTCGGAAGACCATTCAAAGTTCTCTTATCCCTTTAGTTGATGCTTTCTGGGAAAGAGCAGGGTACACCATTGTCCCGGCAGTGTTGGCAGGTATCTATAGTGGCCTCTTCAATTGGGTTACCCGTGGCGATTGATTCGTCGAAGGGAGTGTTTTGATCTTACATGTACGTTTTATGAACCTTTTTGCTCTGTTTCTTTTCTTGGAATTCAAATTTTTGGTCTCAGAAGGGTTTGGGTAACAACAAGTGTGTCGCCTAGGCCATAGTGGGCGACACCAGATGTGTTGCCCAGGGAAAGATCTCCTAGATGGCCTGATTTTGATTTTTCTTTACATTGTGACTTTTGGCATCTTTCGACTTCTGTTTTCTGCAGATCTGGGCTTTTGAGCAAAACGCAGTCATTCGCCCTCGTCGGTCTACCATTGTTGTATTTGTTTCCCTCAGGTTAGCATATATTAGTTATATTGATCGACCCCATGACGTCAACTATTACAACATGATCTTTGATGAATTATTGTCATTTGACTGGGTGATTCGAGGTCTCGAGAATATGCCCCTGTTCCTGCCACTTATGGGGTATTCATGCTTTCTTTTGGCAGTTAACACTTTACTAAGGGTTATTTTCCTCAAAGGGGGCTTCATCAGTTTCGATACATCCAAAATTACATATCCCCTGGAGAAGCCATTGACCGTCGCCCCGTGTTCCCTCTTAAGCAACACTCTTTCACCCATCTTGGTTGAGCAAGCTTATCCTAGAAGGGGAAGAAATCCTCTTCTGATGAAAGGCTAATCGAACAGGATAAGCCCATGATCACTTCCAATTATAATTCTTGGTGGTGGGAGTGTGCTTTTCCCCTTCCCTTATGTCCTTGGGTACCTAGGTCTCATGGTGAAACCTTTGCCCCTACTAAGGATGTTGCACCTTCTCAAGATGATGGCACATCTTTTTCGAAAAAGCGGGCTAAGTCTGGTGAAGATGTATCTGAAATTAGCTTGGAGAAGGCAGAAGTCGAACTGGCCCGATGGTCGGCCCATGTGGCGGTTCTCAAAGAGAAAGAGGATGAGCCCAAATTGAAGACTAAGTAGTCATTAGGAACTCTCTTTTTTACTTTTTCCCTGTTTCCTCCAACGAACACCTTTTTAACTTTTTCCTTGTTTCCTCCAACGAACTCTCTTTCTCGCTCTTCCCGGTTTACTGTTTCTTTTGAACAACATGAGCAGCAGTAGACTTGATTTGCTCTCTCTCTCCAACAAACTCCATTTTTCTCTCTCTAAACTTAGCACTTTTATTCTCTTCTCCCTTAAAAATTGAATTGCCTCACTCCTCTCTCTAAATTCATATTCCTTCCATTCTCAGCTTTCTCTTTCTAAAAATTTCCTGGTTTTACTTTCTAAAACAGGCAAACCCAACCTCCAACCTCTCACTCTTACTACTCTTTGCTTTCACCTTTTTATGAACTTCTTACTCTCACTCTAAACTTGATTTCTCCAAGCTGCATATCTCTAAAGACTTCTTCAAAAACTGGGATTCTATCTTTTCCCATTTTCTAAAAAAAATTGCGTCATCATGGCCCCCTTTTCTGGAATTCTTGGCGAGGGTTATCTTTGAGGGATCAAGAATGGTTGGAGCAAATCCTCAATGGAGCCTCGGGACTGAGCACATCTCGAAGATGAAAGGAAAGGAGAAGGTATGGGCATTTTTCTCATTCATCAGGTTTTGTGTGTTCTGATTTTTGGGTTTATTAAGATCACACTTGCTTTAGCCCGAATTGATGAACAGAATAATTTCTTTTAGATTTATATGGAAATTTCTTGTTATTGAGGGTTCTTGCCCAAAGATTTTGTTAAGATATGTATTGATCCTTGCTCTAAAATTACCCCGTACATGTTCCTGAGATGTTTGATATAATGTTTGTATGGATTTATTTTAATTCGAAAGTCGAAGACCATTATTTTGATGGTGTTGTTGTGCTGGACATATCCTTGGTGCGAATCTTGGGCGACATTCTTTGTCCATGCACACCTTTTTTTCCTTGAGCTCTTTCCAATTCCTTGATGTCAAAGGAATATGAATCTGTGGACGTGAGGTGGGATTATCTTCGAACTTTATTGCCTAAAACATTCTGGAATGAAGTTACAATACAAGCAAGGTAACTGAATTGACCGAATGGTACTTTCATTTTGAATCTTATTGTTATTTACCTTGTTTCTTTCCCTACTCATCCACTTGGAATTTGATTTGTCTCAATAGCACTTCTTTTGTATTGAATAATATCATCTTGCTTTGGAAAGGTTTCTTTGAGCACACTCTGGCCATAAAGATTGTACTTCAATATCGAATTTGTCAAATTGGTAGAGAGTATTTTTATCTGCATGCAAAATAGTGCTCAAGAGATCGAAAAAAAAAAAGGATCATTCACCAGTCTCTCATCCTCTTCATCGAATTTGATTTTTTAACACCTTGCACTCCATCTCGTAGAAACCTGCTTCGATTGGGCCTTTTAATTTGACCATTGCTTGAGCTTAGGTGTACCCATGAGTCTCCCACATGATGGAGCTGATTGCATAGGCCACCTCTCCTTGCTTCTTCTCCATCTCACATTTCATGACATCATCCAAGAGACGGGGCACGGACCTGCCAAGGCAAGGCAAGCGTGATCTTGGACCAATATGCAGCATTGCAGGCTCATGAGAAACATACTTACCCATCAAAGTGATTGAGCTTAAGGGGCTCACCGGGGCTCCAACACTAGTCGTCCCACCTCCATGTATTCTAGAAATGCTGTGAGAATTCATCCATTCTGATTATAGCATCAGCCCAAAGTTCTTTAAAGAAAGGAAAGACTTTACGACTTTGGGCCTCACTCGATTGTGACAATGAAGTCATTCATTGTAATGTATACAAAGGTGAAGATAAGGGAAATGGGCTCAGGAAGCCTTTCTTACTCAGAAATATCTTGTCTTTCAATAGCCTTAACGAAACGTATAGATCTTGGGGCATGGAGCTTTCCATATCGAAAATGTTGTCAAGGCCAGCAAGCAAGTGCATGTTGTGGAAGTGGCATGCCGAGAACTCTGGTTCACGGATATTGGTTGCCACACTATGTAATGTAATTATTTGTTTAAATATTTAATGTGTGCAATGTACCTGGGTTTGATACTTAAATTCTTCTCATTTGAGATTATTTGTTGTAATTTTTCAGTTTATGATGTCACAAGACAAGAAAATTTGTAAATATGTATAAAGTATGGGCAAAAGAAATTAAATTCTACTCAACAAACCAAAATTGTATCAACATGCTGGTGGGAAACAAAGTGATAAGGTAGATACTATTGTGGCTGTAGCTATTTCTTTGTATGTCCAAAGATTATGGAGGTTCTCATTTTGTTTTGTTCACAGATAGACACTAGGTTTATAGTTGAATTAATATTTGATCTTGCTTTGTTTCTTATATGTTTGCGACTATATTTCTGTGGATTAAGCATAAGTTTCATTCTTGTTATATGCCTGGTAACAATTGAATTGAGAAAAGGTATTTGGAAAAGAGCTTTTTAAGTGGATTTCCTCTCGCTGAATGAAGCATTCAATCCAACAAATACTAACAAATAATATATTAATGCCCGTTGAGTTATATTAACATAATATATGACCAATGCACCCTTCGAATTATACAGATAATTGAAGTAGCACCTAACTATTAAGAAACCATTAAATTTAATGCCATATCAGTAGCATACCAGATGGTTGTTCTGTTATGTTTTCATTAACAATTGAAATGTGTATGATTAACTCATGGAAGATGGGGTTGTTGGCAACTTACATGTCATCGATTCAACATATGTATGGGGCTGACATATCGACTAGAGACCAAGAATGGTAACAACATACAGGAAGTAGTCTATCTCATGAGATTGCTCCATACAAAAAGCCTTCTATTATTGTTCAACATTGGATTGGATGATGCTTCTGTTAATCTTGACCAGAGTTTTTCAAGAATATGAATATTAGCCATGTGAATTTCTCTTTTTCGCTGCAATAAGATCAATGTGAATCTGATCATGTAGAAGCTTTTAAAGATATTTTAGGTGGTGAGCTTTTACATATGTGGGTTGGTGGGAGTTCAGGAATGGGTCTGTGCAGTTACCCAGGCATGCGATATTTAGCTTGATATTGGATATTGGGAGTGAGGTGGGGTCCTATTATCATGTAGTCTTTGAACTAGATAGATCCAATGCAAACTTAGTTTTGTCAATGTTCAACTCCTTCGTGTGGAGTATGAGATAAATTACAGTAATAAGATTGATGGGAATCTGATCATGTAGAAGTTTTTAAGATATCTTAAGTGGTGGACTTTTCCTATGTGGGTTGGTGGGAGTTCAGGGATTGGTCTATGAAGTTACCTGGGCATGCAATATTTAGCTTGATGTTGGATGTTGAGAGTAAGGTGGGTCCTATTATCACGTAGTCTTTGAATTAGATAGAAACAATGCAAACTTAGTTTTGTCAATGTCCAACTCCTCTATGTGGAGTGGGAGACAAATCAAGGAGTGGAAAGGCAAGATCGGTTTCCACATTGCTTCATCTGGGCAATGCCTCAACAAGACAATATGTACATGTGAAAAGAGTACTAAAGACATGAGTGAGAAGAGTACTAAAGACGTGAATGCCATCAATGAGATTAAAAGGTTAAAGAAACATAGTTAATACAAGGTATAGAGAACTGTTCTAAGGGCTCAGCTACTTGGATGTTAGCTCATATTTATCTTTGATGAATATGCTGGTAACTTGGGGGTACCATTTCAACAGTGCAAACTCCTGTTGGGTAGCGGATTGTATTTTAGCTTTATTAGTTGGCTTAATTCTTGTTGTATTTTGTCAAGCATAATTTATTGGTGTCCTTCGTTTTCTAAGCATCTCACGTATGTGATGCCTTTTTGGATACTGGGAGGATGTCTAGAGGCATCTTTATATATTGGGAAATGTAATTAATGCAAAAACTACCTTTGTGCAAGTTCTCTTTCATGATGAAGAAAACGTGAAATGTTTGGTAGTAAGTTGGGTTTCACACTATATTGTTTAAATGTCAAGAGGACCATAAACGAACATTTGATTCAAATTATGTATTAGACATTTATCGTTTGTCAAACTTGAAGAAAATGTCTTCATGAAGCAGTTACCAATTCTCTTTTTGCTTTTCGTTTCTCCTCATCGAGACAATTGTTATGTGGTGCCCTTTAGATTCTAGACCTGACATGCCTCTTAGAGGAAAGATTCACAATTGTGCAGAGAAATATTTTTTAGACATGAAGACCAAACACCCAAGTACGTGTTGCTCTTAAACATGGAGTATGTGATCAAAGAAACAAAGATGAAGCGATGAACCATATTTGATGTACTAGGAGTTAAATGGGTTGACCTGAAAAGTATTCAATCTTCACTAGATTTTGTGTGTGAAGTTTGTAGTTTGATTCTACTTTTTTGAGATCACTAAGTCATCGAGATGAGTTCATGATTCCTATATGATGTTGGGACCTTATACTTTAGACTTCAGAGACTCCATGCATGAATAGCAGATCGATTCAAATATAGTAATGTGCATTTATATGCACTTACACATCATTGATTGAAATATATATGCATTGCATGAGAATCGCCTTCAGGTTTCAAGATGTTTATAACACTAGAATTACAATAGAATTATGTGTAAAACAAGCTCTTGATTTTCACTCACTTATTATATAACTAGAGAGAGAGTGTGTGTAGATTACAACTCTCTTATTAGAATATAATTTTTTCCAAAAATCTCATAATTTTTTGAAATCAGATCAAAATTTCTGGTTTTCAAAAGATTTTCAAAATATAGTTTTTTTATGGAACTCAAATGTGTATCTTGTACTTTTCAACAAAAATTTTTTTAAAAATCTTCTTACAATTTCCCTGTTGTTCAAATTGATTTGATATCTACGAATATTGGTTTTGAGATACGCACATTAAAAATGGGAATAAATTAATACTTCTGATTTATAGAATTTTTTTTATATAAATTTTCTCTTACCAAAATATTCCTTTAAGAAAATTGTATGGAAAAAACTGAAATAAAAAATAACAAACACTACCAACGTATTCTAGAATAAAAAAACTCGCCCAAGATAACCATATACTTCGAGAAATATAAATCCAATGAAAAATCTTCATTTTCTCTAAACCAAGAGCATGATTACAAAGATGAATAGAGAGAGATTCCATCATAATTAAAGATTTAGGCAATTGGTGACTAGGAGTTCAGGTCGAATACTGCTTGCATGCATTGTCCAATATTGGCAAGCCTCCTTCTACTCTCTCTCTCTTTATATATGTAAGTTTGATTAATATCAAATTTTTGAATTTTTGTTATTTCATAGATACAACATAAAAATTTGGGCGGACTATTGTTTCACATTTTTGGGTTCTTGTGTGCTAATTGGTGATCCTATACTGAGGAATTTTTTTTAACAGTAAGCATATGCTTTGTGTTACAAGCCTTATCGTTTCTTAATACAGTTGTTGTGTTTAGTTGTGTTTCTATTATTTGGTTTCATGCTTCCCATAACATTGGTGTATGTTTCGTGTTCCGGACAACAAATAAAGCATTATTGTTGCATTTAATGTAAATATCGATAAAAAAATTGTCAAATAGGACCTAAATGATACTATATAAAGACATAAGATCATTGTTCAATGACTTTGATGTATCCTTGCAATAACTGTAAATTATAATTTTATCGACTGTCATATTTACATATCTGAATTGTTCACTCCATTTTTTGAGCCAAATCTAAATTATTCATGATTATTGAACTTTCTTAATTTTTTTGTGATCCGTATTTGCCCTAATTTTTGGGCAAAAACTAATTTATTCCGAGTGTTTGGGTTGCTTACATATCAAAAGATGTACAATTATAGGATTAAATCTAATTTTCTTAGCCATCTTGAGAAAGAAGGATTTGGTGTAACCTCACTCTAAACTCAAGCAAGCCCCCTCTTCTCTCTCTCTTTAACTATTCATCTATTCAATCAAGCATTAGCAAGTCTGGTAGTGCTGAGCAGCTCAATTAGTTCCACAAACCAACGAAAAAGAGGGCTCTGCTGGTGCACTCAAAAAACCAAATAAAAATTAGTGACCACACATAGCAGCATACAATTTTATACATGAATATCCATATTAAGCAATATCGGACACTCAATAGCTTTTAGAAAAGAACTTCAAGCACGAGGTTGCACATTAGCACATGTCTAAATTGTAAATTTCTTTAAATTCACCTGTAAATTTCAATGAATTTCAATAATATATGCGAAAATCTACCAATCCATGCTCAGCCACCAAAATAAAAATAAAAAGGTATATCATCAAAGTCAAGTCATGCATTCTATCAGTATGTATATCAATCCACCATACTTTGAGAAAATAAATAAAGAAAATCAAGAACATTTCACTAATACAGAACTATTGTAGAGTTTTGATGCATCATGTTAAAATGCTTTTACGGTATGTAAGAATTTGTGCAGCATTGAGGGGGTCAAGGGCTTTTCAATTCTCCCGTGGCGGGTGATCTACGTGGATGAAGAAGAGATTAGTTAAGACGTACATAATCCAAAGTTCTCCCAATCAAATGGATGAACGCTGCAACAATAACATCATTTTAAGAAACTTCAAAGTTCAAGAGAACACCCTCTGTTTTGTTTTGACTTTAAACGGTTCATAAGTACCAATATACTGGATTGCGTAAGATGAATGATTGTCTAATCAAGTAAGGCAGCTTAAGGAAATTTAATGGACAAGATTTTTAATAGTAAGCCGGCTCATTTATTTATATATGGGTATGGTTTGCATAAGGTTGCAACTTTAAACAATCAAAGGCGCACCTCTAAATTTTATTACAAGATGTAATTTTGGTGTTAAAATTTTTTAGGATGACTTTAAAATCTATTTTTATCTCTAACTATAAAATTTAAAATTTCAGAAATAATTCAAATAAAGTCGATCTATAAACAAATGAAAATATTGAAAATGAACGGTCCTGATAATAAATTGCAAGGTGTCCTATTTTTAATACTCGAAATCTTTTTTGTTTTTTCATATCCATACATTTTGATCAATAACAAAATGATCATTTTGATGGATATTTGAGGTGCACCTTAATTCTACATTTGAGAGAGAGAGGACCTCAGTAGTTGTGGTTGTTGGTTTGAGAGATCAAGCATGTTGGGTTAACATGATCCCTCCCTCTTCCTCGGTCCCCTCAGTGGAGAAGGGAATATTTAATAATTTTATTTGGGGTGCCGATGAAAAGGAAGCTCGAGAAGTATTTGCGTAACTCATGAGCAAGGAAATGTTTTCACATGGATGAGGCTATTTTATAGTAAAGCCTTCCCTGCTTGATTATTTTCACACGTTAACAATACAAACCAAATATAAAACATTTTGGGCACGGTACGCGTGAAAGTATTTTGGGAAAGTATTTTTACATGAAAAAATTCCTTTATATAATTTGGTGCGGGAGTTTCTTTCAGCAAATGGTTGACAATTGATGCTAAAAAAATGTATTGGAACTTACTAGTATGAAAAAACTCCCACACTTAGTTATCTGAAAGAGTTTTTTTGTGTGAAAATACTTTCATAGCAAGATTTTCATGTTGTATCAAATGTTTACATAGAACTATTTTCCATACGAACTAAACTTAAAGAGTGCCGATTATGCCATTTGATTTTTTTTTCTCAATCCTACTTTACCTTTGTTGTTTGATAGTTGTAATTAAGGTTTTACACATTCAAGAGAATTTAAGGGTGAAGCCAACAAATCATAAGATGAGATAAAGTAGACTTAAGTGGATCATATGCAACGTCAATCCAATATATCACCTATAGGAGGTGCGGGCTAGTTCAAGTAGAAAGCTAAAAGAAGACAAAGGATATATGCCAAAAAAGACATAGTTGGCAGCAGTAGAAAAAAATATAGGGACTCATGGCCTCACTAAGAACATGGTTCTTAATAAAGGAGAATGATGGATCAGAATTTATATAGCCAACCTCAATTATTTGGTAAAAGGGATGATGCTTTGTCTCCTACGCCATTCCTTAAAAACCATATTGATTTTTATATGGGAAAAACCATATTGATTTTTAAAAACCATATTGATTTCTACAATATGCGGTCCCTTGGTATAAAGTATCTATCTTAAAGATGGATACAAATAGGTGGCCCATCTAAAAATAAATGTAACTAACAGTCTAAATATTTTTTTAATATAATAATTATTTCTAGTTTTCAATTTTTTCTTTTTTATATTCGTGATCTCTATGTTAAAGATTATATATTTTTAAAAATTAAGATCAAATTATATTTAAAAATATATTTATTGCCAAGCCCACATTTCTACAATGTGCAGGCTGGCCGCATAGAAACGGTGTCTTTTTATATAAGCTAGTCATTTCTTTATTGAAAATTGAGAGTTTATATATGGCTGCAACCTTAAAATGTAGAATTAAATATGCATATTAAAAATCCATTGGAAATGGTTGTTTTAATGTTGAAAAACGCTTTAATTGATCATCTTGACATTAAGATGTATAAATATAAAAAAAAAAAACACATTTTGAGTCCCAAAAATAATGCATCGTGCTATTTGATTTTGACTATTTCTTAAGTTTAAAAATATTTTAATTAGATATAAAAAATAGATTTTCAAATAATCTTAAAACAAATTTACAGCTAAAATTTAAAGATACGCATTGTTTAATGTTGGAGCCTAATAGAAGCCATGCCCTTTGAGATAATCGTATTCCTTGTTTTAGGACCCATGGCCTCTATTACCACTCTGTGACGGTCAAATCAGCCATTGGATGGCGAAGATATGCTTACGAGGTGTCCCTGCGGTCATGCGAAGTACGGTGTAGTTTCTTTTTCGGGAATACGAAAGCGCGTATTTTTTCCGCTATCCCCTGAAGGCCCCGAAAAGTAAATTTTACGTTCGAAAAAGCGAAAGAAGAATAAAGAGCCATTCGTATTAAATCACTTGTCTCCATTTTAGGGTTTCTAAAGGGTTTTTCTAGGTTTGTATTTGCAGACAGGCATGGCTAACCAGACTTACAGTTCATATGGAGGAAGCAGCCTTTCGAGTCTCTATTCTTCAAGGCTTTCTACGAACTACATTGCGGATCCTTACTCATCTGATGCGTCTCTACTCGGTTCTAATCGATACATGGGCACTGATACCATTACTGGTTCAGATCCATCAAGGTATTCTCTGGATAAAGGGTCTGCGTTTTTGAACCAGTCAGATAGCTTGAGGTTCTCTGGTACTGATACTTTTACCGCAAGCCGCCTGTCTGGAGCTTCTCTGTATACACAACCGTCACGGGTTGGTGGAGAAACACTCGGGATTTTGCCAAATAGCTCTGTGGATCACTCGGTTGCTGGTTTGAAGCGTCCAACTGAAGGTACGTTCTAAGGTTGGTTAGGGATTTTTTGATATTGTTACACTTTTATCTTTCCGCTGCGATTTCTTTTGAATGGATATATCGATTTTAAGGCGTCCAAGTGAAGATATGTTCTAAGGATGGTTAGGGATTCTGGGCTTTATATTGTTACTCTTTTATCTTGGATTTCTTTTGAATTGATATCTCGATGAATTGTATTCTTGGTCTTTCTGCTGTCTTCTTATTTTATAATGCCTTCTGAAAACTCTTAGACGGTAGGTAGTTGGTGTATACTTCTAGTAAATTTGAATATCATTAGGTGATTCTGATTTAGAGTTATTGGGCTATATTCCTCAATTTTGTAACAATTGTATCTGGGTATACTTTTTGTGATTTTCTGTTTTTTTTCCTGTCTGTGGATGTCTTTCTTTATGCCTCAAACAATTCTGTGGATGTCTTTCTTTATGCCTCAAACAATGCAGGAAGTGATTTATTGGGGAAAATTGGTATTAGAATAAAAACCTTATTAAAATAATTTATTTGGAAACCATGCTTCAAATAATTTAGTATTAAAAAAAAACATACAGAAGTGATTTATTGGGGAAAATTGGGGGAAAATAGGAGAAAGATGAGGAGAAGTAGTGAAAGTTCAGGATTTGGAATGAGCGGATATTGGGTTTTATTTGATCGGAAAATAGATATAAGTTTATTTCTGATTCATAATTTTTTTTCTAATCATTTCTTCAATAAAAATTGAAGTACAGTTTAGGTAATTGTTTAGGAAAGCCAAAAATTGGAGCTGGATCTTCCATGTCATGGTTTGAATTCTATTAGAGCAAAATGAATGGAATACACAATTGTGAAACTGCCCCAAAATGCATTTTGGTTCTGTTCGGGTGGTATTTTGAATATCGCCTCATTGTGTCCCTTTGTGAATAACCACTTGTAGAAGCCACATTGTGTCCCTTGGTGAATAACCGAATGACCAAATCACGAGTCAGTTTCCAAATTGGCCCTTAACTTTCTGTTTGATGACTGTTCTTCTGTTGGTTTACGTTTATTTCTTGAATAAAATCTCTTATGGGATGGTATGTGTTGTGAATTTGGTCATTGTAATTCATTTCGGGGAAAAGAGTGATATTTCTATTGCTCGTGCTTGTTGGTCATAATTTCATATGATTGGGCACGCAAGTGGTAGCCTTTTTCTTTTCTTTTTTTAATTTTTATTTATTTTTTATATTTTTTTATATGTAATTTCCATTGGTCCAAGATTGTATGTTTTACAATTCTTCTTGTATATTTTTGGGTGTGGAGGGAGGGGTCCCCGAGGCAAATTTATGTTCGAGAAAAGATGTCTATGGTACACATAATGCGTGGAAATTATGATATGAAAGCTTACATAGAACTCATTATGCTTATAATGCTATTTCACTAGGTCTATTTGCACTGAAAGGTCAAGAGAAAATATAACAAACATACTCATTTGAGAAGGAAATCGAGCATACATGCTCACCAATAGATGAGCTGTTGTTGTTTGTGTCTGTGCTTTACGTCAAAATATAGCTATTATCCCTGTTTCTCGTTTTAGATGAAGCTGTCTTATGGCCAGCTACGCAAGGAAGCTATTGAGATCGCGTAGTATACGTGGCCAACCTATGTGAACAGTGTGATCTTTGTAAGCTTTTATTTTTTCATTTTTTCTTATTAAGTTGACTATACCTTTACTTTTTCATTAATTTTGTAATCTTTTACTTGTTATTTTTGTTAATAAATTTACTACCATTCATATGGGTTTGCCATTTTGGCTTCATTATCTGGTGTTTTCATGGATATCCAAGGTTCAAGATTCTATGTTTTTCATTGATTAGCCTCATTGGAGGAAATCAGTTGTAATGAATTATTGTAAGGAATAATTTTAACTGACAAAAACATATTAGTTTGCTTGACTATCTGTGTAGTACGTGCATATCTAAGTTGCCTTATATTTAGATCTATTAGAAGCTTAAGATTTATTAATATAGCCACTTCCGTTATAATCACTTTTTGGCTGTAGTTGATGTGTAAGTTGGGCTTCTTGGACCCTGGTTTTGGGAAATGCAATTCTTTCAATGCTTTGTTGCATTTGGGGTTTATTGGGGTTACTTCATATAGTTAGCAAATGC